CTTTTTAAGTTTTTTTTTTTTTCAAACCAGACAACTTGCTGTTTCATCCAGCAATTTTAGGGATTTTAAAAGGTGTGACCCACCTTACTAAGGTCTTTGGCAGTCACGCTATCATCATCCCGGCAGGGCAAGCGGTGGACAAATGCTAACATCTGATACTTGGCTCTGATGAATTCTGCTTTATTAGGACTGGTTCGAAAACAAAAAAAGAAAACAGTTCACTCACAGTTCAGATACGACATTCCCCATTCTTTCACTGTAAGAAGAAGAGGAAGTGGCCCACATCCCCCACTTGAAAATAAAATGAACAATACTGAAGTTAAGTTTCAGCAGTGTGCTAAGATCTGAAGTCTGAAAACATACATTAGTCATTATAATGGCCAGGACTGCAGAATACCTGCTTTTTATAGCATCTTTCTACTCTGTGTAATTTGCTTAATTGACCTAGCAACGCTGGGAGGAAGCAGCTCTTCAGCCCATCCTGTAGGTGAGGCATCAGGCAGCCTGGAGTTCAGAACCCAGATTTCTGGTCTGACTGCCTGTTGTTTGAGCATCTAAGCTCAAATCTGATTACATTAACAGCTACCAAGCCTTAGCCTTAAACCATGAGAAACCATGACTTGTGCTTGGGTTACCACGCAAAAGAGATGGTCCTGTGCCTAGCCTCCCTCTGCATGTCTAACAGCAAAGAACTCAATGCACAGTCGGGGTGACCACCTCCTGTGCTGCCCCTGTGGAGGCGGGTCAAGAACAGCTGCACTCCTTTCAGTGGGCCCCATGGGTGACGAAGAAATAGGAGTATTTATAAACATTCCACTCACTGTACTTTATCCTGCGGATTAGCTTTGCGTCTTCCACTCATGATAGAGGCAGGGTCCAGCAAAGAATGCTCCCATATGGAATTAGCACCATTATTATACAAGGTTTCAACCATCTAAAACCAAGCAGTATAAAAATCACACTTCAATTTCTTTCCAGAAATAGCCAGCGGGAATCAGTGACTAAACTGGGACAACAAAGCCCCACCACAAACAATAGCATGACTGGGATATGATACCCATCATTCCTTCCTGATTTTAGAATGAGAAAGATCAACCTGTCTGCAGGACTCAGGTCTGACCAGGAGGATACCTGAAGACCTCAGTGGGTTTGATTATATTTTTCTTACAGGTTGTGAAGAGTACTCAGACAGTTTAGGATTTCCCCAGTCTGATGATCCAAACACTATGTTCAAGATTCTTAACAAGCCATGTACCATCTAGACTATCCACTTAGTATTCTTCTTTAAATCTACTTTCTAAAACTCACACTAGCAATTATAATTTGATGTGCTAGTGAGAGTTTTTTGCAACCATTAAAGTAAATATTTGAGTATTACCTACATCCATCTTGAGTACCACTGGCAGTTCACATGCCAGACTCTGGGACTTGTTGTCTTAGGTCAATTCTGGCATTTTAGTTTAAAATTTTTTTCTTAGAAATCTGGAAATATTTATTTATTTATTAAATGGAGGTACTGAGGATTGAACCCAGGACCTCGTGCATGCTAAGCATGCACTCTACCACTAAACTATACCCTCCTCCCAACTCAGGCATTTTAAATTACTCATTTCTCAACTTCATTCAGATCCTATGATATAATCTGTATTCCATACAATCTGGGAGCAGTAAGCAACCACTTTCACATGAGAATGAGTTGCTAGAAACTTCTGAGCAAAAACTTTTCATAAACTGTATCTCCCAGTTTCATCTCAAAGCACAACTCCTGACATGGCCCTGTCTGTTTTTTACATTACTGGAGATACTGTCATATCAGAGATCAAAACTCACTTTATCTGATCCCTTGCTTCATACAGGCAAGTTTAAGAGACATTTTGTGCAGCTGCCTCAGATTTAGTAAAACATGTGCCCAAGACAAATGAAGGCAAAACACATGCTTAAGTCTCAGTTCTAGTAGAACTTGAAGAATGTGTCCCCCAAAATAGAAGTACAGGTGACATGACAATGGGCCCCAAATAAAACAAAGAGCCCACTTTAACACTTAGCAGAGTGTTAGGCATTTAATCAAAACATGTTAATTTAATTGAGTCTCTAACTAGTTATAAGAACCTTAAGAAAACTTAAATCAGATGTTTCAGAAATGTCCAAGGAATCCCAGTCCATGCTTCTACCAAAGCAGGAAATTTAATGAACAGTTTCTAAGGCAATCACTTTCAGAAACATTCATCAGAAAAGACGGACTGTTTTAAAAACAATTTCTGGTGACATTCTAGAAAGTCAGCAGCGAAACATTAGCAAGAAATTTTAATGATTGTCTACCTATAATCAAGCTTTTAAGACAAGATTTACATTAGGAGGGAAAAAAATCTTAAATGATGAATTCAATACTTATGTATCACATTGATAAGCATGGCACCTCTACTCAATCATGATGCAAACACTTCTGTAAGATTTAAGAAGTATAATTTCAGTTGCTAAAAGCTTAAATTAGAAAGCAGGAGAAGTCTTAGCCTTTACCTGAAGCAATGTTGGAGGCCACGGTGTGTGTTTAAGATGCCTTACTTGAGAGATGTGGCGCCCAAGGCTCCGATGGACACTACAGCACTCATCGCATATAAAAGTTCCCCTGTTTACTGATGCCCAGGAAGGATCTGGAAAGAAGGATGAAATCAGTGGCACGGATACCAGGTGGCCAGTATACTGCCAGATGGCAAAAGATGACCGAGGTTTGGTTTTTCAGAAAAACAAGACATTTTTGCTGTCTTAAGTCTTAGTATGCTAGTCAACATATCAGGCTGGTGAGCTTCTCTGATGATGCCACCTGTCTTGGCTGGGGGTACAATGTTAATTGAGACTGAAAACAGGAGTTGAAGCACTCAAAAAGCAGTTATCTCCTTTCTTGTTCAGGGCCACAACCTGCAGCCCTCATGTGATCTGCCATCTCGGGCGTGGGTTCTTTCATTCATTGTAAGAGGAGCCAATTGAGAGGGTTCAGATCAATCATTTCAAATCCATCTCCACAGACGGCAAGGTGACATAACTATGTCAGTCAACAGTCCACATCACATCATGTGAAGTGAAGGGTGAAAAGACTGCTACCCTAATTCCCTGCTACACAGCTACATGCCTCTGGGCTTAGCAGGAAGCTGCATGCAACACAACTGCAAACTGCTCTGAAGACTGACTGGGAAACCTGGCCTCCTCCACTAGGAAACGTGCTGTGACATCCCTTAGTTGTTTTAAATAAACTGCTGAGTCCAGTCTTGCAACTGATCTGAAAGAACAGTGGCTTCACAGAGGCAAAGATGTAAAATACAAATGACTACTATTTTTGGTGTGTGCACAGTACTTTTTTTCCTGTGAAGTCCCACAGAGCTTCATTAGACTTCCTTTGAAACGAGGAATAATTCACACTCGGTAAGCAGTAAGAATAACTGACAGTGGAAGGTAAACTGAATCTTTAGAAGCTCGACATAAAGACAGACCTACATTTCAGCACTCACCAGGGGGTGACAATAGGTGCCGCTCAAACTGCCTGGCTTAAGGGTTGTATTTAAAAATTCTTCGATGTCCACAAAAATCTCTAAAATGCATGTACACTATCTTTACCATTTTTAACAGTTTATTCAAACCCCTTCCAACCATATAATGAAAAGTTATGGGATTTCATTCAAAGACAAATCCTGGGAGTCAGAGAATGTAGTGGTTAAGAGGGTTGACTCTGGAGACAAGCGGTTCTGGGTTTGAACCTCAACTCTGTCACTTCTTGCATAACGATCTCAGCGAGTTACCTCTTTGAGGGTCCTCATCATGGATCAAAGGGAAAGAACAACACACGTTAGGGGAGTGAGGATACAAAGAGTAAGTAGAGTTCCTTGCATATGGTTAAGTTCTCAGTAGCGTCCACTGCTATAACCTGGAACGTTTCACATGAACACTGTGTTACTACAGCGAAAAATCTCAGTGGGGTTTTCAGGTAGTTGAACTCAGAGTAGGATATGAACTAGAGTCATTTAAAAGAAAGGTAAACTGTTTACTAAAATGTGATCATAGTTAATTAAATTTGTGCTAGGAAATAAAGTACCACTATGCCATTCTAAAAAGCAAAGATTGGAAGCATCAAGATGAAGGATCCCTACAAACATACAACAGCTTTGCTTTTTGCTAACAGTCCTGCTACTAATCACACTCACACACATACACACAAAATTTGTTTTGAAGATCAGCTTTGGTTTTCCCGTATCAGAGGATTCACAATTTTCTTGGAGGAAGTTAAAGAGGAACAAGATAGCAAGAATTTAATAGAGTCTCCATTAATCACCTTAACATCATGAATCAGAATCCCATGGATAGAATATTAGAATGTTAACAACACTGTAAAATCCAAATCGAGTTTGTATGACTGAGGCTGGGTGAACCCCTTCCAGTTTATCTGAGAGTTTTATGCCAGGGCTTCTAAACCTGGGGTCCCGGAACACAACAAACGGGCTTCAGAAAAATCTGCGAACCCACTGAGAAGCCTTAACGTAGATTCTGAGTGAAAGAGTAAGTACGTGTGCATTTTCTGGGGAGAAGGCCTTAGCATTCTTCAGAATCTCAAAGGAATCTCGAACCCTAACGGTAACTCACTGGGGCTTTGCAGAAAAAAGGCAGCACAAATTCCCAGCTGCTCAAGTTCACAGAACATTTCAAGGTAGCCTAATTATATTCAAAACAGGAAGGAAGTGACTCAAGTCTCTGTAGATTAGGCATATGAGACAACAACTAAAATGATACAATGGAAGAGAAAATGTTCTGAAATGCACAGAACGCTGCAGAAGCAGGAGGCAGTATTTAGGGTGCCAGTGGAGGTAAGTTTTCCTTTGCCCCATAACCATCCACTGAGAAGCAAAAAAATGCATTTCAAGAGGAAGTCTGAATCTAGATTCATGTGAATCAAACATCACAGAAAGTTCAACCAGAAACAGGCGAGACAATAAGGAAGTGGAACAAATAACATTTTCAGAGAATACGATGGAGTTTGTATAACACACCACCTTGGTTTCTAAAACAACTCTTTTTAAACTCCTCCACCCATCTCCCTATCTTCAAAGGAAACTGGCAACCCCACCTACATAATACAGGCCATGAAATAACCACATAAGGTGTGAGTTATCATAGTACGATTTAAAATCAGTCTCTGCTTTCACATGACAAGATGAAGTTTGGAACAGTTGCAAAAACACTGGTGTTCAATGACTTCATTAAGATTGTTTACTGGACACTATTAGGCCAAAGAAACCACCTTACCTTTGGAATCACTTCAAACTCAAAGCAGATAAATCCACCACTAAAAACAGCATAAGGATCTGTCAATTTAGTTCCAACTGCTCAGACGGATCTGAACTCTAGATCTGAAAACGACGCATGGTTTTGGCCTTCCAATGCGCCCACAGGCCGATACTGCCTGAACGCCCAAATGGGTCTACCTGCTAGTGATTTTGGTGTGTGTGCGTTTGTTCTGTAAGCTGTAATTAATGTATGATTTAGAAATTCAACTATAGCTTTAAGGGATAGTAAAGGTTCTGTACAAAAAAGAAAAAAAAAAACACCCAACCCCAAAAACACCTTAGTTGTGATGATCCTAAGACTATTCAACGAATCGTCCCTAACACTGAGCACGGTACTCCGGATGATCCCCATCGGAAAAATGAGGAAATCAAGGCTTGGTCAAACGAAGTCACCAGCCCAAGGTCACCCAGAGGCAAAAATCTAGTTTGAAGTCAGGCCGTTCAGATCCCAGAACTTGACAAGAAGCCCTGCCTCCTAGATGCTGGATGCGTTTGCAAGACCCCAACATCCTGGAGATTCTCCCCGGTGGAGTGGGTATCCAGAGCGGGGAAATCATCCATGGGGGTCCCCTGGCGAGTCTCAGTGGAGGGAAGCACCATCCCGGCAGGGCACCCTCTGGGGATGGGGGTCTGGGTAGCTGTGGGGAGTGGTGATGACACCTGCAGCCTCGGGGGCCGCAGCTGGGGGAACGCTCGCGAATTTTACTTCTGTAATTGGCCTTCCTGTGGATTGCCCAAGCCCTTTCCTGTTGGGAAAGCGGCCGCGACCCGCCACCTCCCGCC